GAAAAAGTAAACAAGCATAAACAAGGAAACGTTTGTCTTTTTCACCCTCAAAAAATTGTGAGGAACCCTAATCAGAATTGAAAGCAAGAGCCTTGTAGTTCTGATTGTTATGAATCACTCCCTGGCCCTAGTTTATAATGTTCTTAACTCATATCTGTACTGTTAGAAATACACTACGAGGGAAAGACACAAAATATGACTTTGCAACAAAGAAAAATTCACTTTCATGGAATATTATTCCAAGGAAATTAGAAAAGGTATTCCAGACAAGGGAGCACACACTATTTAAAAATTTATTTAAAAGCCCCTGGTCATATGAAGTTGGAAAGGATAATTTTAAAGTGAAAAGATAGCAAATAACTTGAGTTGAAACAGCTTGAAAGCCAATCCCAGTAAACCAGTCAGCTTCCTGAAGGGCCCTTCAATGTGATCTTCAGCAATTAATGGAACATGTTACAACCATGTTCCTGATTATAGCATCAGGAATAAAGTTGTACACAATAATAGGCAGCAGGCAACACAAATTTTAAGTAGTTTCTCTGCAGCTGTTCCTGGAAAATTTCTGTTTTGCAGACTAGCTTGAACATTTTCCGATGCTTTCACATACTGGGAGTAATCCTTCAATACGCTGTCTCTTACAAAGATGCCGAGCACTGTCAGCTCTCACTGGCCTCAATTTGATGACAGCAGTGGTACACAAGATAAGGTCTTTTGCAGATAAGACAGAACAATCAAGAGAAATTTCCAACTGCATAGGGGAGTTTCAATTGTGGGACTCAGGAATAAGAAGTCAGAAGCCTTGGACAGAACTCCAGCCCTAGTTTCGTTTCCCAAATGATCGCTGAATAGGAGAAATATATGGCTGTACTCCAAGTCTCTCATATAATACACACCTGTTGGTGAGGTCCCCCAAGAGAGAACTGAAACAGTACCAGGCAATATGCACTAATAAGAAGAAATCATTGTAAACTGTGTGAAGATCACTGACCTAAGCTTCCTCCCACCGGCACATTAGGAAATGAATATATCATCTTTATAGTTTTCAGAGTAAGACAGGGAAGAACCACTTGCACAAAAAGCTGTTCCTACCTTCTGTTTGAGCTCACTGGTTTCATTGATGAAACAATTTCTCTCCTTCTCCAATTGGTAAATAATCTTCTTTTCTTTCTGAGCTTCTTTCTCATAATTTTGGATTTCTTGTTCCAAGTTCCTCTTTGACTGTTCATGGAGCTTCACCAAATTTATCTGCTTCTGAGTGGCATTGGTAGCCTTGACCAAGTTCTACAGGGAACATGAAATAATGACTTTTGAGCTGAAAAGGCAACACTGCCACCACTATGACAAAAACATGCCATTGTCTAAGTGGATTATGGACTTCCCAATGTTATTACCCCTTATCTAATTTGTTCAGTTGAAATACTTGAGTCTCAAATCTGATTTTAAAAAAAATCTATAACAGAGCTGCTAAATAGTACGTTTTCTGATTTGAAGTTAAAACACTAGTGTCTGCATTGCAAAAAAATGGACAGGATTGTTTACAAGTGGATATAACTTATGACTGGAAAAGCCTTACCAGCTTTAAGGCATTTAGATTGTAAAGCATGACAATTGCCAGCAAAATAAATAATAAAGCCAAATACCCTTCCTTCTCATGTCCTAAATAGCAAGTTCAAACTGGAAACTAACCAAGCTTGGTTTAAAATTGTGCACAAGGATTAAACAGAAAACACCAAGATATCATCTTGAAAAAAATCAGCCTTCTGGTCCCACTTTGAAATTTCTTTCTCTATACAAAGCAGGTATTTGTTACCTGCCAAATCTGAACCTCTGCTAGAATCAAGACACAGGACAGTGAATCTATACCAAGTAAAGCACCTCAGAAATCATTTAGCATTGAATTTACTAGATTATACTTCAGGAATGCTCATAAACATGAGGTGCTATCCTGCAGTACAAGAACCTTAGGCTGATGGAGAACGATCAGTATGAGAAATGGACCTAAAAGCAAGGGTTAGTACTAACACAGCCTGCCAAGCTGTTACGTGGTGCATCAACGTTTTGGTTTGTTCTTTTACTAGCAAAGACTTAGTTTGCCTAGATTAATATTAAACTTCATATGCTGCAGAGCGTAAAAGCACAGATGGAATGAACTCAAATAACAGATTTGCAATAAAGGTGAACATGTAGCATTTCTGAACTCCCTGATAGTTCGTATGTTAAAACTTAGAATTTATTTGTGTGTTTGTGTACTAACACTATTTCAATGCACAGAAAAGAAAAAGTGTGAGCATCTGATTAAGGAAATCTGAATGCTTTACTTAACGTTATTTATTCTACAACATTTCTGTGTCACTGTGAGTGTTTAAACTTCAGACATTTCATTCTCAAGCTGTGCCATTTGTTTATCAGTATTTTCAATGCAAGCTCACCTTGCTTAGCAGATCCTTTTCCTTCACAAGCTCATCTATAGCTTTCTTGTCAATCTCCGCCTGCTTTTTGGCAGCCTCCAACTCTAGAGAAAAGGAGGAAAGAGAATAAATCCTGGTTTCAAGTTGTACAGCTGTTAAAAATGCAGAAACAACTTAGCGGACTACTTAAAAGGTGAGTGTCAGCATTCAAAACCCTCCTGGACACGTTCCTGTGCGACGTACTCCAGGTGGTCCCGCTCTGGCAGGAGGGTTGGACTAGATGATCTTTCGAAGTCCCTTCCAACCCATAACATTCTGTGATTCTGTGAACAGTTCAATTAGCTGTGACCAGGTTTTGCAACCTCAAGTATCAGCTAATGATGTTAATAATTTTTGAGTACTTAGAAGAATATAGAAGAAGTCAGGCACAGTAATTAATGGTAGGAGGACTTATTATATTTGGGTGTTCAAACCAAGATACCACAGAGAATTTGTATTTTCAGAAATCATGCAGCACACTGAAAATCACAGCCTTTTAAGAAGCTTCAACCTGAACATCCAAGAATTGAGGCACTTTCAAAACCAGGGACTTTCAGAATTATTCTAATCCCTCTATGTGAAATCTAGTTCTCCATTGAAGCGGTGAGATTGTACTGGCTTCAGTGGAGTTAAAACTACGTGCTATGGGTCAAGATTAACACTGGACATGAACTATTAAAAAGATCCTAAAAACTGGAGACGCGTTCTCATTGTATCTTAAAACTAATTAAAACCTGCTACACTAACACTGCAACTCAGGAAATGCAGTACATTGGCTACTAATAACGTGTCTTTTTGTAGTATTTGTCACATTTTAGCACTCTATTCTCAGGCATTCTAATACAGATTTGAGTTTCCCGAGTTCCTTTCTCTTTTCTAGTACAGAGCATGACCTTAAGCAGTACTAGCAAAACACTTCTACAAAAGCTCTTTCACCCTTACAGAGATGCATGAAAAACAGACATGACTTTCCAGAAACACACGGAATACATGGAACGATTCAAATCTCATACATGCAGTCTCTTCAGGACACAAGCTAGAAAGAAGCAAGAGGAGGGAGAGGCATTTATGCCAGTGTATATCAACTTGAACTAGATGAATTTTAGAGCAAAGGGGGGGTTTCTGCCCCAAAAAGTGGTCTCATCAACTCAAATATTTTGCCAACCTCATAATATTATTTGAGAAAAAAATCCCAAACCCATAAACCACTTTTTTTCTGAAAATCACTTTGAAAATGTGTTTATTTCAAAGCATATTTGATTTTGAAACTTATTTGCATTTTAAAGTTTTAAAGAAAAGGAAGTGGTTTTAAATGCTCAAAAATACCAAAAAGTTGTTTTTTAAAGTCAAAGAAAATAATTTGTTAGACCCAAGGCATTTCTTCCAAAATTGCCATTGGCAAAAATGTTGAAAGTTCCTTTTTAAAGTTTTCCAGATTTGCCAGCAAGTCAAAGTCAATACCTGGACAGCTCTAGTATCCACGCTGACCAACTGAAGTCCTAAACACATCAGAACTAGGTCAGTCAGCTTGCTTCCATACATTCATTTCCAGCCTCTAACTATTCAGCAGCACCAAAGCAGGAAAAAAAGTGAGTCCTAACCACGTCTGATTTCAGTAAGCTCTGAGATTGCTTGTCTCTCACAGGGACAAACCACAAAGTTCAGCTATGTCTGTTTTATTTTCACCCCATATATACTACATTATGAAAATTCTGTAAGCCTACAAGGTTTTTAAAATGCTGTTGTAGATTCTGACTGTCATTTATACAGTCTCACACCAGACACTAAAGGAGAATGATCCTAACAGAAGGGTGTACCTTGAATGAATAAATTACAAATCAGAAGACAGATCCACCCACCAGTTACGCACCTACCTCTCTCCAGTCCCAATATTTGATGTTTTAGAGTGTCTCTCTCATGACCTGCATCAACTTTTTGTTCCTCTGCAGCATGCAGCTTATTCTGGAGAACATCTCTTACTTTGTTCAACTTTGAAATTTCAAGGCGCATCTGAGTCACTTCATCATCTCTGGCCTATAGAACAACAACAAGGAAAGGGGAGAGAAGGCATCCACAGAAAAAAAAATGCCTCTGTACTTGATATATACTTATTCCATGAAATTCAAGAAGCAAAGGTATAAGTGCTGTGGGTCACCTGAGAGAAGATAATTAGCTAATTGAACAATATTAAAAATAATTCAAACAAAGCCAGCTAGGGCAAGGAAAATGATAATCAAATCTTATGTTTTAGGGCTGAAGATGATCAATATAGAATCCCCAGCTGCAAACCTCACACGGCACTACCCAATTAGTCCTGCAGATTAAACAAAGGCAGCTCTAATTTTGTTTGAAGTGCTAGGGACTGTGACTAAGATGAGAAAGATCTCCATAGTGTGGTCTGATTGCATGTCCCTAATAGCAGCTATCTGTTATCCCTATCTCTTTTATAACCTATGGCTTTAAAGAAAAGCAAAATGTATGTAGTTCATCTCATTTGCTATACACCAGGGGAGAAAATAATCAATCAAAACACTGCACAACTGGTTACCAGGAAACACAACCAATAATCACAACAGATACTAGTTTATTTCCTTTTAAGAATTAAATATAACTTCCTCATATAATTCAGTGCCACTGTTAGGTTTTACAGCCATACAGACTACAGTATTCCACTTACAGCCTCAGATACTGATTCCGTGAGCTGGTGAATCCTGCTTTGTGAGTATCCTCTGGGAGGAAGTGAATCTCCTCAATTCTTACTGACAATAACCTTCAAGAGACTTATGAGTACTTTCACAGCTCGGGTTGCCCAACACCATAGTGCAGGCATTCAGCAGACTGCAGGATAAAACTGCAAGCACAGTGCCTAAAAAAGGGCATCTCGAGTCATGACTGGGGCTCTTACAAGCTTTAGCAACTGTCTTAACTGCTAACTGGGAAGTAACTTCTATTTTTTTTTGTTCCCAGAAGTCTGTGTGCATGACTCTACAAGTTCCATCAACTTTTCTTGAAGTTAGCATAAGATCTTACAGTCAAAATCCTCCTTTTGTCACTCTGGAGCCCCAAATTTAAGACACATTTGAACACATTGTTTGTAAAGTTTTAAAAAATTATAGTATTGCTAGAAGTAATGATAAAAACAAATAACCTGGAAAATACAGTAATTTGTTTTTCAAACAGATAAGAAAAATATCCTCCAGTCTGCCTAACAAAATACAACAGAAAACAAGCCCCTACCACACAGCCCATTAAGGATCCCAATCAGAATCATCTGTGTTATATTAGTTATGAACTGAGCTTTTAATGTCAGTGGTTAGTTTTTATCATTCTGACTATAATTTTAAAAACCCCAACAACTCTCTATTAGTAAACAACCTTTTTATTTAGGAGATTTGGTTATACTTGACTAAACCTTGATAAGTTAATAATTTTCTACCTGGATTTTCTAATGTTTAGCGTTTTAACCCCAATGATGATACAAAATGCAAGGTATGGTAGACAGAGTAATAACATCTAACACTTATACATTGCCCTTTATAACAAATGCTCTCAAAGTACCCTAAAAAGCACATGCAGGAATCATTTAATCCTCCCCCAACTGAAACTCACCTGCTCCTGAGTGGTACAAAATAACTTTAAAAATGTAAAGTCAAGCAAGAAAAGGATTTAAGAAAGTAAACACCATCTTGGTTACTTATATTTAACTTCCCCAACTAATACTGGGGGGGGGGGGGG